CAATGTACAGTAAACTCTCTTTTATCTTAAATACTTGGGGAAGTCATCAGACTGGTTAATATATCTTGTAAACAAGTCAATCCATGACACCAGTTCTCAGCTGCTGGGGAAGCAATACACATTTTCGGTATTTGTGTGGACTGACTTTTATAAAAGGGTGCTTTTGGTTCATTTATGGGGTAGTTCTTTTTATTTTCTTGTGTTTTTGTCGTTCTGTTCTAGGTGAATACAGAGCCTTGACATATCCTGTTTCAGTCATTCATTCTTTATTATTTTTGCTGTTTATTTCAGCACTGGTAATCTGCTAGCACCTTCATTTATTTTTCCTTGTAAACTTTCTAGGGATGACACTATTTGTACATAGAATGGTTGGCTAATGGTTGGCTAATGGTAAATGTTTAAAACAAGGAAATGTGCTAGACATCAAAGGTCATATAGAGCTATGATATGCTTTGTGACAAAAAGGGTAAAGAGGTGTTAATCATTTAAACAAAAAAGTGTCAGATGTCAAAGGACGTAAAGCACAACAGGATAGTATGGTAGTGAAAAGAGTAAAGAAGGGGAACAAACAGGTTTAGAAATGGATTAGTAAAAGGTAGATGGGGAGTTTAGGGCAAAGGGCAACTAGATCCAATGAAGGGTATCTCTGCAACTGAAGACGAAAAATAAATTGTCAAAGGAAAAGGGAGGGAGGTCCATTAGGATGGACAAGAAGTTGGAGGATCTGGGAAGAGAGGACAAGTTGGGAAAGGCAAAGTTATTGGCTGCAGTAAAGTAGGAATATAAAAAAAGACTGCATGGGACTGGAGGAGGAAGCATTTTAAGATAATTAGCATGTAATAAGGACAGTAATGAGTGTCACTGAAGTAGGAGAAGAACCTGGGAAATGAGAGAAGGAACCAGGGAAACAAAGTAATGTATGGATCCAGGGAAGGACACTCTTGTGACATAAAGAAGTTGCATGTGCATCTAGGAGGGGGAAAAAAGGGATAATGGGGAAAGAAGGGGACAGACATAGATGGTGAAAGGAAGGATAGAAAGTGTTGGGAGAGAGTGGGAGAAAGAGGGTAAGGGTTGTGGTACCATGAGGAAGACTGTGCAGGAGAAGATGGAGAGGAGGATGTTAGGAGAGAAGTTTGGGTGTATTCTGAGAGATGAGCAATGGTTAGAGGGGATGATTAACAATATATCAAATTAACAGCATGCAAATGCATATACGTTTACATTTAGACATATAGACATACATACATACATACATATGTCTATAATTCTTAAATACATAAATAAAATTTTGAAATATATTCCAGCACAAAGCACTCCTTCATTTTTTATCACAAAACTTATTTATCTATACTTTGGTCCTAAAACCTTGGAGTTGGCATAAAGTTACAGTAACGAGACAATATAGAAATACAATCTGAACTCAAAGAACATACAAGAATAAAATTTACCTTAATTATGCCGCCTGTGTATTGAGCCACTGACCGATCCACTTCAATAGCGCGAGAGCTCCCCAACGATGGCTCCATTTCCCAGATAGCCGGATGCTCTACAAAGTGTCTGTAAGAAGAGGAGAAAGTAGCACTATATCAATATATGTTAAGGAGGAGAGGGTTATGGGGAACCAAAGTTGGAGAGAGAGCAAGAAAGAAAAAAGTGAAACTGAAAGAGAAAGGGAGATGAAAACTGAGATGAAGATGGAGATGCAAAAGGATGGGGATGGATAGAAAAGGAGGGGGGGAGGAGGAGGAGGAGAAAGAAGAGGAGGAGGAGGAGGATAAAAAAAGAAAAAGAAAACAAAGAAGATGATGCAGTACAAAAGGGGGAGGGGGGGGGGGGACAACACAGGAAATGAAGGGCAGGTGTGGTCAAGAAAATGGAAATGCAAGTAAGTCATGTCAAGTTAAAGGGTCAGCTGTTTAATGAGAGATTGTTGGCAGAAAAAAATGGCTGACATTCTCCTTGCTTCCCACATCCCCAAATATAAATATATATTTGGGTAGGCTTGCTTCCCTTAAAATTAGCTGCCTAACCCTTTGAATATACTACAAAACTTGGTTTTCAAATACATCTTGACACCTGGGAGCAACAAGTAACCTGGGGAAAAGTCCCTAGTGGTGGAGGGGGAGTTGGGGATTTTGGGTCTGAGTGGTCGAAAATGAGTTCTGGTTAGTTTCATATTCTTATGAATGTTGAATTAACCATGTGAATTTGAACTCCCGCAACGAGTAATCTAGGTAGCATGCGAGGCCAAAACCCCGAGTCAGCTGTGTCAGCGATTTTCACCCTTCTGCACTCTCACTTTACAGGAGTGAATATGATGCATTATATTATGACATTACCTATTGAACTGGATCACAGGAAGATAAAAGTCTCTTATTATAACAGTTTCTTCCCAAAGTGAAAAATTTATGATATGAAAAACAAAGAAAATAAAAAATCAATACACTATTTTTCAAACTTCTTTCCCATAAAATAAAGTACATATGATTTGATTTTGACATACTCATCATACAACTATGTTTAGGGTACAATGATAATACAAGAGCAGTTACAAGTCTGTATCTCAAAAAATAAACTTGCAATGACTAGATATTTACATGGGCTGGGCGCTTGCCCACGTCAATGGCTATCTTGGATGGAGTTCCAAGCGTTCTGATTGCAATAATCTTATGTATGTGCTTTCTTTTGAAACTGAATAATCAATTAAACATCATTATGTCATTATATATCCATATTACAAAAAAAATAAATATAAAGAAAGTATGATATAATTTATCTGTGTAAACTCCTAAGATAGGCCTTCAAATATCTGATACCTATTGTTACATCACAACATGAAGTGTCCACGATACACGGATATGAGCGATTTGTATCTAAAAATATTTTTGATATACCAACATTTTCTGAACGGTTATTTCTAACGAACAAGAAACAATTCATTGTCCCTCCATAGCAAGTACTTCACTCATGACTAAACATTTATCCCTTGTTTCAATGTGGAATCACATGGTTAGACGATGCAGAAGAAGAGTAGACTGGAATAAAAAGAAAATAAATAAATAAAATAAATCATTATCGATCTAATGGGTATATGTGCATATACCCATATACACATGCAAGAACATGTGCCTTTATAATAATCTATATGCCTATACATATGTAAATGAATGTATACACAAGAAAACATTAATAAAGAGGTATAAAACGTGAAACAACCAATTTCATATAACGGTCAAGTTGTCTTGGGTTTGTATTACCCCTTTTTCACGGGAGTCCTTTGTATGTTTGTTTCTAAAACTCGGAGACTAATTATGATATCTTTACGCAACAAAGTGCATTTGAAAGAGGAATGATAGTAGTTTCTCCGAAAATGAGATCCATAAATGAAAAAATAAAAAAAATGACTTCAAACAGCCAACTTTTTGTTTGGTTCTTTTTCAATTTTTCTTTTTTCAAGCCACGGTTGGTCCCTCGTCCCAGAGTTCTTACCCGATTCAAATTTTGGATATATCTTTGGAAACCTTGTGAAAATGGATTTTGTGGGATATTCAAATATATCAAATATCCATAAATCAAGAAAAGACATAAGACCATTTTTCAAAAAAAATTTACCGATATGACTCCCCCCCAACCCAGTAACGACAGGTGTCCCACATATGAGACACCCCAAAAAATGAACATTGCCAGTCGTCCCCCCAGTGTGAAGCGGGCTGTGGCCGGCGCGCAGGTAAAGTCCAGGCCAGCCTTGCGCGCCAGTTTTATAGCCGCCTGGAATCTTTTATTTTCGGCTTCAAAATATACCGGCAGTAATGGGTTAACCCACTAGCGACGGCACATTTATAAGTCAAAAATAAAATTTTCTGGGCGGCTTCAAAATTGGCGCGCAGGCAAGTCTGGCAACCTCCCCGTGCGCTGCCCGCCACAGGCGACAAAATCAGAGTGCGACCTCCGATCTGGTGTTGGACCAGTGGGACCTCGGCAATGTTTACTTTTCTTCGGGTATCACATATGTGGGACACCTGTCGTAAGTGAGTTAAATATGATAAATCATATGCAGACACCCAACCCATGGAACCTACTTCTGTGCACACTCGACGAGAGCATCATGATTGACCCCAACACCTGCTAGAACCATGCGAGAGGGTGTGTGGTGTTTCTTCAGGTAGGTGAAAAGGGTTGGCCTGTCAATCTTCATCACATTCTCTGGTGGGCAAATCTTGGGAAGCCCAAGAGTGTTGTCTCTGTATCCAGCCTGTTTTCAAGAGAGAGGAATATCTTCAAAACAACAACAACAACAATAATAGTAATAATAACGATAACAATAGTAATAATAACAATAATTATTACAACAATGACAATAATAATAACAACAATAATAATGACAACAAAAATAGCAATAACAATAATAAAATGATGATAATGACAAAAATAATAAAAATGACAATAATAATATCATCAACAATAATAATAACTACAACAACAATAACAATGATTAGTCATAATCATAATCACAATAACAGTAAAAGTAACAAATAAAAAAGAAAAAAATATCATTATTATTAATACTACTATCATTATCATTATCATATTAGTATCACTATCATCATCTTTATCATTATCATCATGATTATAATAATAATAATTATAGTAATAGTAATAGTAATAGTAATAATAATAATAATAATACTAATAATGATGATGATGATGATGATGATAATAATGAAAAGAAAAAAAGATAATAATATTAACAATAACAATGATTATTACTATTATCATTAGTATTGCATCTCATCATTATCATTTTGATCATCATTATTATTACTATTATCATCATAATCATTATTTCTATAATCATTATAATTACCATTAATATGATTACTATTACCACTACTACTATTATTGTCATTATCATTATCAATATTATTATTACTATGATTATAATTATAAAAACAACAATAAATATAATAAATAATGAGTATCATTATCATAATAACAATGACTATAACAACAAAAATATCAACATTAACAGCAGTACAGTAGTAGTAGTAGTAGTAGTAGTAGTAGTAGTAGTAGTAGTAGTAGTAGTAGTAGTAGTATAGTAGTAATAATAGTAGTATAGTAGTAGTAGTAGTAGTAGTAGTAGTAGTAGTAGTAGTAGTAGTAGTAGTAGTAGTAGTAAGTAGTAAGTAGTAGTAGTAGTAGTAGTAGTAGTAGTAGTAGTAGTAGTAGTAGTAGTAGTAGTAGTAGTAGTAGTAGTAGTAGTAGTAGCAGTAGTAGCAGTAGTAGTAGTAGTAGTAGTAGTAGTAGTAGTAGTAGTAGTAGTAGTAGTAGTAGTAGTAGTAGTAGTAGTAGTAGTAGTAGTAGTAGTAGTAGTAGTATAGTAGTAGTAGTAGTAGTAGTAGTAGTAGTAGTAGTAGTAGTAGTAGTAGTAGTAGTAGTAGTAGTAGTAGTAGTAGTAGTAGTAGTAGTAGTAGTAGTAGTAGTAGTAGTAGTAGTAGTAGTAGTAGTAGTAAGTAGTAGTAGTAGTAGTAGTAAGTAGTAGTAGTAGTAGTAGTATAGCAGTAGTATAGTAGTAGTAGTAGCAGTAGTAGTAGTTATAGTAGTATAGTAGTAGTAGTAGTAGTAAGTAGTAGTAGTATAGCAGTAGTAGTAGTAGTAGCAGTAGTAGTAGCAGTAGTATAGCAGTAGTAGTAGTAGTAGTAGTAGTATAGCAGTAGTAGTAGTAGTATAGCAGTAGTAGTAGTAGTATAGCAGCAGCAGCAGCAGCAGCAGCAGTAGCAGAAAGTAGCAGCAGTTGTAGTAGCAGCAGTTGTAGTAGCAGTAGTAGTAACAGTAGTACTAGTAGTACAGCTCTAGTATTATTAGTACTAATACTACTAGTACTAATAGTGGAATAATAATAATAATAATAACAATAATAACAATAATAACAATAATAATAATAATAATAATAATAATAATAATAATAATAATAATAATAATGATACTGATGATACTGAAAATAATGATGCTAATGATGATAATGACAATGATGACAATGACGATGACAGTGATAGTGATAGTGATAGTGATAGTGATAGTGATAGTGATAGTGATAGTGATAGTAATAGTAATAGTAATAGTAATAGTAATAGTAATAGTAATAGTAATAGTAATAATAATAATAATAATAATAATAATAATAATAATAATAATTATAATAATAATAATAATAATAAAATTATTAATTATTATATATTATTATTATTATTATTTATATATTATTATCATCATTCATACCCATAATCATAATCATATTAGTACTATTATCATTACTTTTATTACTGTTGTTGTCATCATCATTGTTAATTCCAATATTACTGCAATAATAAAGATGATGATGCAATATACTAACAATAAAAATAACAATAAAAACTAAAATAATAATAAAATAAATAAATAAATAAAAATAACTAAATAACAATACACACGATAACAACCCGACAAAGAACAAGAAATGAATTCACATAAAATAGAAAGAAAGAAAATGCAATATCTTTATGCATCATTATACAATTACGCATTTTACATGTTACAGCAAATCCACCAGACCTTAAAAAGTGTATCGTAACTTACAGCATGTATCATTTCCATCAGCAAAGTATCTTTCTCTGGCCTTAGCTGCAGGTCCTCCAGATCAAAAGTCACAGCCATTCTTGCATCTGTAACCTGTTGTCCTTATTAATTATTTACTAATTTCTAAGTCTGCTACCTAAATCATCTTACTTTGATATTCATCTTTGATTATTCACAGACGATTAAAATTGTTATAACAATATATGACTGTGTATATGAAAAAATGCAATTACATAGGAAGGAAAGTGACATCCAGTTTTCAATACCATTCAAACTTGAAAAGTTATACCTCTTCAGGCAGCAGCTGAGGGCGGAGGACAACTTCTGCCAACACTTCTACAGCTTCAGGCATACCCTTGGACTCCACTGAAGTAGCATAAATAAATGTGTCCCTGTCAAGGAGATTGTTTTCCATATATATAAATGATATATTGATTTACTACTATATTCTATAAACTCTTCCTTAATATACTGAGAACTGTGCAATTAAGAAATTTGCTTGTAATTGTGGTGTGCAACAAGTGCCAAAAATTAAGATCTAAAAAACTTCTTTGTTGTTTAATACTGAAATATTACTGAAATTCTAGAAGAAAATACTGCATGATGCAGCCATCCTAGACCAAGAATTCCCAACAAGTTTGATACTGTGTACCCCTTTGAACATTTTCAAGGTTTACCATGTATTCCTCATTATTATGGGCAAAATATTGTCTTTCAATATATATGTATTTCCCTTCTTTGCCCCTTTCCTTTGCCACCATCTTTCCTGTATGGCAGGTAATATAGCTGAGAATTTTGTATAGAAGATAAAATCAGCAGGAGCAATGAAGTTGAATAATAAGAAACTAGTACCATGAACATACAATGATATAACACTTTTTA